TGAGATCGGTAGTGAGATCGATTGAGGGAGACGCTGATTCCCCCCCCCACCGAACCTCATTATCGAAGGGTGGTCGTATAGGTATCAGAGGGAAGGTTGAACGAGGAGGAGGAGGAGGAGGAGGACATGGAGAAGGAGACCTCTTGGGGCTTGGGGCCTCTCGGGGCCCTCTTGGGCTTGGGGCCTCCTCGGGGCCTCGTGGAGCCTCTTGGCAGCATTGTCGGTCCTTTTGGGGCGCTGTTGGTCTGGTCCGTCTAACGCCTTCGGAGGCCGACTTGAGGGCGTCCCCGAGCCGTTCTGGTGGCCGCTTGCAATAATGATCAGAAAGCAGAATGTATCAATGATTTTTGCGCGCGCGAGCGCACGTATGTGGACCGCATAGTCTTATTTCAATTGGGTTCGCAACGTAGATCAAACAGTTGTGTGCAATGTGTCGTGGATGTTGCGGTGGTTCATTCACAGCAGCGGAGTATTTTTAAGTCGGGCATGTCCTCCTACAGGAGGAATATTCCAAAAATAGTTAATTAAGATAGGGGACGATTTTGTGGACTATCTTTGACAATGTTTGAATATTTGTTTGGACAATCTTTGAATTTTTCTTTCATAATTCGCCTGTAGGAGGACATGCCCGACCTAAGATTCTCCAGGCTCACGCCACATCCGCCGACCCCTTGATTCGTACCGGCGGCTATCGCCGCGTTTCCGCCTTCACTGCTCGTAGCTGCCAGGCGTTACAGTGCAGTGGCAAGTGCCAGAAGAAAAGATTGAGAGGCATGGCAAAGCGCATGAAAAAAAGAACGGAAGAGGAGTAGTCGGAGGTGGAGGAGGAGCAGAGGGAGGAGGAGGAGGATGAGGAGGATGAGATTGAAGAGGATGAGGAGGTCGAGGATCAGGTTGAGGAGGATGAGGAGGGTCAGGTTGGGGAGGATGGCGAGGGGGAGGGCAGTCTTGGGGCCATCTTGGGCGTGTTCGAACGCTGGTTTGGCTACTCGGGGCCTTCTTGACCGTCTCGGGGGCCCCTTGGTGCGCTCTTGGTTCGTTTTCGGGCCCTTTGCTCCCCCCGGCGGCGTTCGAGCCGGGATCAACCGGAGCGCGGATGACCCCGGCTCGAACGCCTCTGGGCTACTTTGGGGCTGTATTGGAGGCCTCCAGGGCCGTCTGGGAGCGTCGGAAAGCCCAAAAGGCAAATTTGTGAAAAATGTACGTTTCACGAAGGGAACGGGCCAATTTTTGCGCCGAGGGGCCCTCCTGGGGGTCTCTTGGGCTGTCTTGGGACCATCTTGGGCGTGTTCGAACGCTGGTTTGGCTACTCGGGGCCTTCTTGACCGTCTCGGGGGCCCCTTGGTGCGCTCTTGGTTCGTTTTCGGGCCCTTTGCTCCCCCCGGCGGCGTTCGAGCTGGGATCCACCGGACCCGGATGACCCCGGCTCGAACGCCTCTGGGCTACCTTGGGGCTGTATTGGAGGCCTCCAGGGCCGTCTGGGAGCGTCGGAAAGCCCAAAAGGCAAATTTGTGAAAAATGTACGTTTCACGAAGGGAACGGGACAATTTTTGCGCCGAGGGGCCCTCCTGGGACGCATCTTGGAGGCCTCTTGGGGCCTCTTGGGGCCGTCTTGGGCCGTCTGGAGGCGATCGTCGGTGTCTTTGATCGCTCTTCGACCGTCTGTGACCATATTGAGCTCTCTTGGAGGCCACTTGAAGCGCTCCTGGAGCGCTCTTGGGGCCGCCTTCGGGGCCCTCTTGGGCAATCTTGGGCGCCTCTTGGGCTGTCTTGGGGCTCTCTTGGGCTGCCTTGGAGCTTCCCTGGAGGCTTCTTGGACCGTCTTGGGGCGGTATTTAGGGCCTCTTGGGCCGTCTGGGAGCGTCGGAAAGCCCAAAAAGCGAATTCGTGAAAAATGTACGTTTTACGAAGGGAATGGGCCAATTTTTGCGTCTAGGGACCCTCGTGGGACGCATCTTGGAGGCCTCTTGGGGCCTCTTGGGGACCTCTTGGGCCGTCTTGGAGGCCTCTTAGCCCGTCTTTGAGCCATCTTGGGCGTCTTGGAGCGCTCGTTTGGCGTCTCGGGGCTCCCGTGGGCCGTCTTGAAGGCCTCTTGGGGCCATCTTGGCCCGTCTTGAGGCTTCCTGGGGCCCGGAAAAGCCCCGGCGGCGCTCGTCCCGGGCCCCGGCGGCGCTCGTCCCGGGCCCGGGGGGGGGGGTCAAATCGCCGGTTTGGGGTCCCGGGGGGGGGACTATAGGGGGGGGAACTATCTCACACGCCTAGAGACCCACAAGGGGTCGGCGGATTAGTTATATGTTCACCGTTTCGCTTTTGTCACAAGGGAAGCAGGATCTGGCCCGGTACGGCTATTGGATGTCGTTGCTATCTTAACGTGTTCTAGTCTATAATGATCTGGCTTCGGATGTACACGGTTATACCACCCTATCACAAAGTCTTGGCTCTTTAGACCATCGCGGCGCGATGATACATATTCCAGCTCATAGCTTGTCGTAGCCAGCCGCATCATCAAGTCCCCCAATGCCAGAGGCAGTGAAAGAAGTCAACGATGGGGACGTGTTGAGGATGTCTCCTTTGCGCCGAATCCATTCCGGAAGGCTGTGCAAGTTGTTGACCTCATGCGCGCATCTCGACCAGGTTGATGAGGACATGTGCGCACATTGATCATGGCGATCAGAAGCATTAGCGCGATTGCAGTTTTTGTTTATCGCAAAGAACGTGGTGTTAAGTATTTGCAGAAGGTTTACACCACACATCATGCCATATCCAGAGCCCAGTATTACGTAGAAGGGATCGTGCTGCTATCAGATGGGGCGTCGCACCGAAATGTGTGTGTGTGTGTGTGTGTTTCAGCTTTTCAGGGTCCACTCGTTTTGATGGACGTCTCATTTGAACCACGGCGGACTCAATTTCGCCAGTGCAGCATCAGGGGCCCGAGACTGCACTCTGGCACCGACAAATATTCACCCCTCCTGGGGTTCCCGCCTGCAAATTTCTGATATCATGCGCGCATCTCGGTCAAATTGCTGAAGTCATGCGCGCACCTCGATGATTGCGTTGATGAGCATTGGCGCGCGCGCAGAACACCAGCATTTTCATTTCGCGTGTGTCTGTTGTTTTAATTGCTGATGTAAGGGTGTTTTCAATGTGTTGAAGCAGAGCTCGTCCTGGAAAGCTAGAAAACAAGTCATGTTTGAGATATTCTGTTCTGCATACCCGCGAGCGTGCTCATGTGGCTCGCTTGTTTTTCTCCCCAAGCAACTCACAACATATATCAAACAAGGTCAATTGAATGGTGTGTTCTTCGAGGGATCGTGCTTGGGCCAGATCGGATTGCGCACCGAATTGTATCATTTCACACGTAGGATAGACGTGGTGCCCACCGCATCGTATTATTCACAGCGGGTCGTGCCAGGGTCAGATCCTGCGAATGACGTCGTGCTACTGTTTCACAGCTTGGCTGGACGTGGGCTTCGTCATACATACGAAGGCGCATGGGAGAATGCACGGGCCCGACCAGGCTCGGTCCGGCACGCGCGGTGTAGTAAACCAGAGAGAGAGAGAGAGAGAGAGAGAGAGAGAGAGATATAGAGAGAGAGAGCGTCTTCTGTGAATGTTTTACACTGTGGAAATCCCAACCTCCTTGGCTCTGGAATTGCCCCCCCCCGCTCTCGGAACCCCAACCCCCCCTGCGATAACACCCCGCCGCCTTTCGCCCACTTTCTTCGCCGCATCGTCGACGTCGTCGTCGTCGTCGTCGTCGTCGTCGTCGTCGTCGTCGTCGTTTGCCAGTGCTGGGCGTCCGTCGGGCGGGCGGCAGGACACTCGTCGTTGTCGGCGAGTCGGCCTGGCGGGCGGGACGTCGTCGTCGTCGTCGTCGTTGTTGTGGCCTGGGCCTTGTCGTCGTCGTCGTCGTCGTCTTCGTCGTCCTTTGCCAGCGAGTCCAGCGTGCGGGTGGACAGGACATGTCGTCGTCGTCGTCGTTGTCGTGAGCAGTCTTGCTGGCGGGACACGTCGTCGTCGTCCTCGTCGTCGTGATGTCGTCGCATTCGTCGTCGCCGTCGTCGTCGTCGTCGTCGTCGTCGTCGTCGCCGTCGCCGTCGCCGTCGCCGTCGCTCCCCTTGCCGTCGCTCGCTGTCGCCGTCGCTGTTGCCGTCGCCGTCGTCGCCGTCGTCGCCGTTGTCGTCGTCGTCGTCGTTGTTGTCGTGATGTCGTGGTCGTCGCACTCGTCGTCGTCGCCGTCGTCGTCGTCGTCGCCGTCGTCGTCGTCGTCGTCGTCGTCGTCGTCGTCGTCGTGTTGTCGTGGTCGTCGCACTTGTCGTCGCCGTCGTCGCCGCCGTCGTCATCGTCGTCGTCGTCGTCGTCGTCGTCGTCGTGTTGTCGTGGTCGTCGCACTTGTCGTCGTCGTCGTCGCCGTCGTCGTCGCCGTCGTCGTCCTCGTCGTCGTCGTCGTTGTTGTGCCGTCGTCGCCGTCGTCGTCGTCGCCGTCGTCGTCGTCGTCGTTGCTGTGCCGTCGTTGTCGTTGTCGTCGTCGTCGTCGTCCTCGTCTTTGTTGTCGTCAGCGTCGGCGTCGTCGTTGGCGTGGGCGAGTCCGTCTGTCGGCGGGCGGGCGGGACACGTCGTCGACGTCATCACGGGCGAGGGGAGTCGGTCGGGCGGGCGGGCAGCACGCGTCGTCGTCCTCGTCGTCGTCGTCGCCGTCGTCGTCCTCGTCGTCGTCGTCGTCGTTTTTGTTGTCGTGGTTTTGGCCTCTTCGTCTCTATCGTCGTTGTTTGCTGGCGCTCGCGGGGGCGCAGGCGCTGGGACGGGGGGTGGGCGTTTGACCCCCCCGATTTTCACTCTGCAGAGGGTGGGGAGGTGCTTCAGATCTCCAGAGAAAGCGAGAGACAGATAGAAAGAGAGAGAGAGAGAGAGAGGGAGAAGGAGAGAGAGAGAGAGAGAGAGAGATTCGGCGCGTGCGCAGATGCCTGGGGTTGTCTCCATTTTTCACCTGTCCGCCTCAGGCTGCAGCAGCGCGGACGAGTACGCAGATTGGATCAGGGAGCGCCGCCCCTCTTCGCTCCTCCTCCCGCTCGGAGTCCGCCAAATCCTCCTCGTTCTGCTCCACCTCGTTCGACCCTGCGAGGCCGAGAGGGAAGCTGCCCAGGAATCCACGGCCGAGTCGCGGGTAGTCAGGGCGCGTCAGGCTTGCTTCGACTCAGAGCTATCATTCTTCTTGGCCCCCCCCCTGGCGGCGCGAAGATGCTCGTGCTTCGCGCATCACGGCTTCGGTCGGAGATCGGCGTCACCCCAACATACTTACACTATATGTGCGTCGCCCCCCCAGGGGCGATGCGCGCACCGAGAAATCTGATAGTAGATGCGTCGTGGCGGGCGCTTTCTGGCCAAACCGCTTGGGAAACGATATGCTACAAGATGGGTAAACTATATGTTCGGGTCGGATGCGTGCCTCCAAGGAGGACATATAGTATTAGTATGTCCATGTGCGTCCCAGGAGAGGCGCCCTTTTCCAAGGTTGCCTCGCGAGGGCGCGAAGGTGATCGCGCATCGCGCATCGCGCGGCGCGGTGCGCGAAGTTTGGTGACCTACAGTAGGAGCTCGACCACAAGAAACCTTCCACCATAATCCCAACCTTGAGAACCCAGGACGTCCAGTGAGTCTTGGTGTGGGAACGTCACGATTTCCGTAGCAAAAGCATCGGAACCCAAGCAACCCAGGGCAACCTGGAGGCAAGCAGGGTGTTTCTTGGCACGGGTTTCCACTGTAGGTTCTTGCAGGATGCGCCATTCCTGCGTCCAGACCCCGGCCGATCTGAGAACCTCCAAGACGGAGGTTTCGGCCCCCTGTCTGGACGTTCTGGGTCTGCAGGCCCTCGGCGGCGGGGGCGCGCCAGCGGTCCCTGTGCGGCTGGGGGCGGCTTCGACGAGCGCTCGAGGATCTCCTCCGCTGCGATGGCCTTCTTCGCTGCGTGATATCCGACCCCGAGCCAAACCTCCGGGTCGGGTTTGGAGGTCGCCGCGGCGATCGCGGCGGTTACATTTTGGGGCAAGGTTTTTGTCAAGGAGTGGCATGCCCCCTCCGAGCCCCCTGCCCCCGCTCTGCGATGTAGACGTGGCTCATAAGCACTAATATGCCGACAACGAGGTGCCAGTTTCTGTCCAATTTGTGCAGTATTGAGAAGGTCGATTCACACGCAACCATTTCGGACCTTCCCTCATTGTTGTCCCCACCTGTGCATGTAGGTCGACGACCGAAGAGTCGAACCTACAGGGGTTGCCGTAGGCAGAGGAAGGCGGCATGGGCGAGGGTAGCGATCCCTTCTCCTATGCGCCGCGGGCAGGCGGCGCTGTACCTGTTTCCAGTACCTGAGCCGAGACGGCAGCAGTAGATATGGATGTAATGATGACATGAGCGGACTTCACACGCACACACCCCGTCCCGAATCCCGCCCGCTCCACGTGGGCCTCGGGCCCACGGGAGACAAAGGCGGGGCTCGGGATCAGAGGTGTGAGGTCCACTCAGCATATCATCATATCCCCTGCAACTTCCAAACGAGGCCGTCCAGCCTAGGAGAGAGAGAGAAAGGGGACCAACACGTCACGCAGGGTACACGGGGGAGCCTACCCGCTTTTAGCGGGGCCAGGGTGCGCCCCCAAGAACGGCTCGGCACTCCTGGACGACTCCCTTTCTCGACGGGTGGCGAGGTTGGGAGAACAAGGGATGTAAGAAGTGGAAATCAATGCCGCGTCAAAGCTATAGACGCGGGGGTTTCCACCGGCACACAATACGTCGTGTGCAAAACAATTCGACATGTGTGGGTGCATAGCAACCCAACGCTCTTAATTCAAGAATACTGTGATCGAAGTTGTGATGACAACTGATCGAATCATACCTAAACAAGCATTCGTGGGGCACTCCAGGCCCAAAATCAACTTGGTATTCTGATTAAAGTTGTTTTCGACAACTGATCGTAGGGATTGCATGTGATCGTTGCTGTTACGACAACTGATCGAATAAACAATACTATGACGTCATGCGTGAGGCACTCCAGGCCCCCAAATTATGCGATGGACAGCTGAGATTTTGTAAAAGGGGTAACGTTACCAAACCAAGCGACATAGGAATCATGTTTTGCATATGCCGTACTCTGTTTTTTCGGCATCCCACGAAAAGAAAGTGAAATGTATGATCTGATAATATTTGCGACGGGCGACCTGTCTGGGTGCGTTCATGCCCTCGATGTCGCCAAACATGTCATGTGTGAATGGCGGGTGACCTGCCAGGGTACGTTTATGCCCATAATGCCAAACTATAGGTAACGATATGATGTCATGTGAAAGTCGAGAGAAGTATGGTATGAATGCCACACGAAACGTAACGATATCATATCAACAACAAATCAATCAACGATACATATTTTGGTCACAGCATGCGGGATCCCATATACGAATGCTACGGTTATCACGTTGTCCAATTCTACGAGTCGCAATATCATCGACCCAAATAATTTCACAATCGTTCTCATCGATCTAGACCCAGTTGTTCAGATAGTTCGACCAGTAGCGGTATGTGTTGTCGCTGTAGTGCTCGAGGTTGTAGTGCCACCACGCTTCTGGGAACGCCCTGCGGGTGCCGCTCCGAGCACGCTTGCTGGTCATGTGCTGCGAACCTTGCGGCAGGCGCGGCGGCGTAATCGGCCTCCGCGCTCCCGCCGCGATCGGCGTGGAAGCTGTTGCAGTCCCGCCGCTGGAGCAGGGCCGCCGGAAGACGCCGCGCCCGAGGAGGAGGCAGAGCCCATGGCAGGCCCATCGCGGCGCGGCGGTGGAGGAGAGGGTGATGGGGTAGAGCGGGGGTTGGTAACTGGAACAATCCCCTTGCCGAAGGCTTTACCCCCGTTGTGGTCGCAGCAGTGTGATGCCTCACTTGGAGCTGCAAAAGGTCGCAAGGTCCTGACCCGTCTCGCCGACCTGTAGAGCGTTCACACACGTCTTGTAGATGTGCTCATCAAAATTGGCAAGGAGGTCGGTGCAAGCTATTGTGTCCGTCTGAATTTCGAGGGCTCTTGCCTGGGCCACTGTCTCAATCCGCTCGCGGGTGTTTCCACTGGCGCTGGCCTCACGACCGAGACCACGGAGGGCCTGATCAGGGATCGCTGTCGGTGGCCAGATCGGCGGAAAGAGAGTTGCATCCCTTATCGGTCGTCTGATCGGGGAGATCGCCCATCGCAATGTCTCCGCGAGATAGGCGTGCTGAGGCAGTGTCAGGATGCTCGGCCATGATCTGCTTGGTCTGCTCCACGAGGGCCGTCATCCTGCAGGATATTATCCCTATCAGCACGGAGTACTTCGATGATTTGTTCCTGAGTGGGGGTGGCAGCAGATGCGGAGCTTCGTGGGTCAGACCTGGGTCTTGGAGACTCAAAGGAATTCCTCGGCATCGATCTCTGCAGATTTGCGCGGGGGATGATTGGTGTCAGCCGTGAAGATAGATGCGCCAGGTTGTTGTGCGCTCTCCGGACTGTCGTCTGGCCGATCCTGCCACAACGGGAATGTTGACTGAAGATATCCCTGAAGACACACATCGGCAGCAATTGAGTCGTCCAACAATTTTCGCAATGCATAGTGTCTCGGATAACTAGAGTCCCATGAACTATGGTGCGAACGATCTTCGACAACACACGCACGCAAGCGGATGGAGGGATCGAGAGAGGGAGAACGAAGGCAGGCGGCATCAGTAACAGGCCTGGCAGTTTTTGTGGTCTCCGTCGTCTTCTCGGTCTTTGGGCTGTGAGTGACGCAATGCATGGGGTCGATGGGTGGCCGATGTTGGCCAGGTAGCGTCGCGTCGCGCGCTGGTGGCGCAGGCGCGGGCGTGTCCACCGGCGCAGGGGCACAAAGCGCCAGGTCGCTCGCAAGGGCGTGGGCGCGGGCGTGCCCACCAGCGCTGAAGCACAAAACGTCAGATTGCTCACAGGTGGCGTGGACGCGGGCGTGTCCACTGGCGACAGGAGCACAAAGCGTCATGTCGCTCACAAGGGTTGCAGACGCGGGCGTGCCCACCGGCGCAATGACATCATCCACGCAACACCTACACGTGTAAGGATACGAATCATCATCTCCATCTCGTCGTACTCGTCGTGGACGTCGCGATGCTTGCGGTGGGCCGCGCAGTTGGGGCGGCGAAATCCGTGCAATATTGTTGAAGTCGAGTTCTGGGATGCGGTTATTGACAGTAACCCTGTACCATTTACAATGTGGGTCCTGAAGCCCCAACGTTGTAACGCTGGCCTCATTTTCGATCTTCCGCTCGGTTCGAATCATCCCGCGTGCTGTGTTTTTTACACAGGATTGGAGGAGTGTGTTGTTCATATCTGTTGTTCAATCCGAAGTTGTTCGGCTCTTTCGACATGCTGCTTCTGCGGCAGCGTTGGCCGCATTTTCAAGCTCCAACCGCCGTCCGCGAGGACGACAGTTGGGCCGCCCTCAAATTGGTTCTTAAGCCGAGGATGGAACAACTACATAAAGACATATTTTTTTGTGGTCCTCCGTGGATTTCCTGGATCTGCGCTGGGACTCCATAGCGGCGCTTCCGGCGCCCCTCTCCGCAATCCTCCTCCCGTGGCCGCGGGTGATCAAACGAACACATGAGGACGAATCGAAAATCAGTCTCCGCAAGGTGGCAAAATAAAACGCTGGGATGGGCAGACGATTATAAAGAAACAGTTTCAGGCGGCTGAATTCTACCAGTTTGCCCCGCTCATTCCTTTTGGGGCCACCGGGACAGGGGTGTTGGTGGGGCATTTTCTTAAGCGTTTGCCCCCAATATGTCTATCTATATAGTTGTTTGACTCGCAGAATCAATGTTTTATAGGAGATCTGGGGGGAGGGGGACGGGAGAGGGCGGGGAGACACATATATCTATCTATATATCAATCGACCTATCGATCTGTATATATATATATATACAGATGTATACACACGTGAACACAGAGAGCGAGAGAGAGAGAGAGATAGAGAGAAACGGGGATTACGAAATTCGGAGTACATTGTAGGTGTTCATGTGGAGGATCAAGGGGGAGCGAGAGAGAGAGAGAGAGAGAGGGAGAAAGAGAGAGAGAGATACATTAATACTGATATACATCCAGTTGCGCTGCCGCGCGATTCCGCCATCGCGCTGGGGCGGGTGGGCGGGGGGGGGGCGCCTTTGGGGCGGGGGGGAGCCTTCCCCAAACTTTGCTTTCGGGCTCATTTACTGCATTGGAGGCAAACAAGCAGAGACTTGGCCACCGCAGTGAACGCATCTTGGGCTCATCGCGTCGGGGGGCCATAATAATGCTTAGCAAAAAGCGAAATGGCCGACGCACGCCAAGCGCTGTCAGCGCGGTGATTTTCTGCGTACGTGTATATACGCACGTATATCAAATCATGCACAAACTTACATATAAGTATATACATATGTATGTATGTATGTATGTATGTAGGTAGGTAGGTAGGTAGGTAGGTAGGTATGTATGTGTATATATACATGTATGTACACGTGGGCCTCTTTTTTGATTTCTCTCTCTCTCTCTCTCTTTTTTGTTTCTCTATCTCTCTCTTTCTATATCTATGCATTCTTCATACATGTATATGTATGTATATATCCCCCAACAATACTTGCACTTGGGGTTTCTTGTTTCTTTCTCAGGGGCTGGGCTGATGTGGCGGTCTGGTAGCTACGTTGCCGCCGTCGCCGCCCCGTCGCCGCCTCGTCGCCGCCCGTCGTCTGGGCCAGTGTGGCGGTCTGGCGGCTATGTTGTCGCCGTCGCCGCCCCTTCGCCGCCTCGTCGCCTCCCGTCTTCTCGGCCGGCGTGGCGATCTGGCGGTTATGTTGTCGCCATCGCCGCCCCGTCGCCGCCTCGTCGCCGCCAGTCGTGTGGGCCGACGTGGCGGTCTTGCGGCTGGGTTGTCGCCGTCGCCGCCCCGTCGCCGCCTCGTCGCCGCATACACTGCGCACCACATAGATAGCACCACGGAGATTGCATCACATAAAGTGCAAACATATATTGCACCATATGTATTGCACAACTTGTATTGGACCGCGTAGAGTGCACAACATCTATTCTCCTTTCTACCCCCCCGGCGTTATTGGTACCCCTTCGGGTATGTAAATCATTTATTATTCTGACCACGTGTCCATCCTAAATATGAAATCACAATGTCCCAGGCCAGCCGGTATCCCCCCCTGAGGTTCCCTTGTAAAAAACAATATGCGGTGACATTTTTTGTTCTAACATAATACTTTTTCACGAATCCCTTGCAAAACATGGGACGAAGTGCACACGCATGCGTCGTCGCGCGCGCATGCCGAAATCCTTCAAAAACCTTCGGTGCCGGAAGGATTTCGCAATCGAGTTTCCCAAAAACATAAAAAACATGGTTTCGCAACACAGAGTTGCTAAAAAAGCTTCCGCGCGAGCTCTTGCGAAATCTTAAGAGAACCATAGGTTTTTCAAGATTTGCGCAAAATGCTATTAAACGGGCTTCGCGCGCGCATGTCGAAATCTGTCGAACGCCCTTGCGCGCGTGCCGTTGCGAGAATCCTCTGCAAAAAATGGGACGAAGTGCAGACGCGCGCGTCGTCGCGCGCGTATGCCAAAAACCTTCAAAACCCATAGGTTTCGGAAGGATTTCAAAATCGTGTGTCCAAAAAACCTACCAAAACACAAGGTTTCGCAACACGGATTTTCAACAAAAGCGTGCGCGCGCGCGCGCTCTTGCGTTGTCGTCGTCGTCGTCGTCGCCGTCCTCCCTCCTCCCGCGTCGTCGTCGTCGTCGTCGTCGCCTACGTCGTCCTCTGTCTTTCCTCGTGTTCGTCGTCGTCGTCCTCTTTGGCGTCGTGGTCGTTTCCGTCGTCGTTGTCGCCGTGGTCGTCCTTCCTCCTCCTCCACGTCGTCGTCGTCGTCCGTCGTCGGCGTCTCGTCGCCGTCCCTCCTATTTCGTCGCCGTCGTCGTCGTCGTTGTCGTTGTCGTCGTCGTCGCCGTCTTCCTCCTCCCTCGTCGTTGCCGTCGTCGGCGTCGCCGTCCTTCCTCCTTCTTCGTCGTTCGCGTCGTCGCCGTCCTCCCTCCTCCCTCGTCGTTGTCGTCGTTGTCGCCGTCGTCGTCCTCCCTCCTTCCTCGTTGTCTTCGTTGGCGACGTCGTCGTCGTCTTCGTCGTCGTCATCGGCGTCGGCGTCGTTGTCGTCTTCGTCGTCGTCGACGTCGGCGTCGTCGACGTCGCCGCCGTCGTCGTCGTCGTCGTCGTCGTCGTCGTCGTCGGCGTCGTTGACGTCGTCGTCGTCGTCGGTGTCGTCGTTATCGTCGTCGTCGGCGTCGTCATCGTCGTCGTCGTTGTCATCGTCGTCGTCGTCGGCGTCGGTGTCGTCGTCGTCGTCGGTGTCGTCGTCGTCGTCGTCGTTGTCGGCGTCGTTGAAGCCGTTGGAGACGTCGTCGGTGTCGTCGTAGTCGTTGTCGGCGGCGTCGTCATCGTCGTTGTCGCTGTCGTCGTCGGTTTCGCTGTTGTTGCCAAGTGCCATGTGGTACCCACCGTCACGGTCTTAAGAGATTTTGCAGACCAAGTTGCGGGTGGGTGGGTGGGATGTTTGCGCGAGCAGTGGAGCGGACAACTCACTGCGAACAGAAATTAATTGCACAACATAGTTCGCACCCGACATAGGTTGCACAACGTACAATGCACCACATAGATCGCACATCATAGACGGCATAATATATCTTGTGTACCATTGATTGCGCACTTCTTACGACACGAGATATTGTGTACCACATATACTGCACCACGTAAACTGCTTCACACATATTGCACAACATATATTGTACCTCATGCGTTGCTCCACACCACATCTATTGCACAATCAATATTGCTAGAATCAGTCAGTGTGGGGTCCGCGCTGGCTTACACACACTCGCATAGATACACAGATATTTATGCATATGTTTAAAGATGTTTCAAAGATCGGGGATGAGAAATTTGTAAATAGATTTGAATCCAATATTAAGAGAGAGAGAGAGAGAGAGAGAGAGAGAGCGAGAGAGAGAGAAAGAGAAAGAGAGAGAGAGGGAAAGAGAGAGGCGCAGATAATGAGAGAGAGAGAGAGAGAGAGAGATAGAACGAGAGAAAGGCATTGAGAGAAAGAGAGAGGAACCAATGCATCTATATATGTATATATATACACATATAGATACACATATATTTGGAGAGATCAAGATAGAGAAAGAGGGATAGTGAGAGAGTGAGAGCGGAAGAGAGGAAGAAGGAGAGATGGAGAGACAGAGAGAGAGAGAAATCTATATTCATATACATATAATATTCAGTCGCGCTGCCGCGCGATTCCGCCACCGTGTTCGAGCGGCCCGGGAAGGGGGGGGGCCTTGGGGGGGGGCAGGGAGCCTTCCCCAAGCTTCATTTTTGAGACCATTTTTTACCAGGAAGGCCAATTGCGCAGGGATTTGGCCATAGCTATGACCGCATCTTGGGCTCGATGCGTCGGGGAGCTAATTGTTGCTTCGCAGAGGGCGAATCGGCCCGACGCACACCAACCGCTGCAAGCCTGGTTGCGGATGTAAGTGCGCGCGAAGATCTAGATTTATATATATATATATATATACGAAGATGCAGATATTCTAGTATGTGTATAACCACACATGTACACATGTATGTATGTATGCATATGTGAGAGAGGGAGAGCGAGTATGACCCTAGGAGAGAGAGAGAGAGGGAGAGATACATAGATCTATACACATGTATGTACATACATGTATATAGATATATGTGTGTACGTGTCCATACAATTTGTATGTATATATAGGCATGCGTATAACGTTATGTATGTATGTATGTATACATGTATATTTGTATATGGTTATATCGGCTTTTATATATATGTATGTTCATATATACACATATATATATCGAGAGAGAGATGACTATATATATATATATAGAGAGAGAGAGAGAGAGAGAGACAGAGAGACAGAAAGAGAGAGAGAGAGAGAGAGAGAGAGAGAGAGAGAAAAGAGAGAGAGAGAGAGAGAGAGAGAGAGAGAGAGAGAGCGAGAGAGAAGGAGAGAGAGAGAGATATGAATAGAGAGAGAGAGGGAGAACAAGTGAGCTGGTGATAGAGAAAGTGTGAACGAGAGAGAGAGAGAGAGAGAGAGAGAAAGCTGGTGCGAGCGAGCAGAGAGCCACAGGACGAGACGCACTGGGGTGGCTTCAGCCTGCTGCTGCCGGCCACGAGGATGTGGCAGAGGCGGCAGAGGAGGGGAAGCACAGAAGGACGATGATGCAGACGATGCTGACGACGACCGCTCGATCGGAGGGTATCGTCCTGGGGCGACCAAGAGATGAAGGAGTACAGAGGAGGCCCATGCCAAGAATCACCCTGCTTGCCTCCAGGGTGCCCTGGGTTTCTTTGATTTCGATGGTTTTGCTGTGGCAAGCGTGAGGTTCCCACACCAAAAATCGATGGACGTTCTGGGGTCTCAGGGTTGGGTTTCTTGTTGAAGGTTTCCTGTGGTCGGGCCCCCACCGTATCAGCTGTGTCGACCTGTTTGCGTCTGCCTCGGTGGGGCTTCGGCTTCATGGAGTTGTCGGGTCAGCACTGGCGTGCGGCAGGGCAACAGCAGCAAGGTGAGCTGGTAGAGACGGGGGCCAATGCAAACGGTGGTCAGCCAGAGCGCTAGATCTTCCAGGATCAATGCAGGGGTTGCATTGACCCGGTCTAGCGCGCAGGATCCTGCAGGATGTTTCAGAATTTTGCAGGATCTCGCAAAGCCCGACTGACCTGGGTTTGCACTGACCTGGGTCCATGCGTCCGCGAAGCAGCAGCGTGCATGCAGGGCGCCGAGCGAGAGCGTGGCCTGGCGGGGCTTGCTCGTAGCTGGCGCGGGCGGCAGTTTCACCTCGACGGTGCTCTCGCAGCGGGAGCACCCCCATCCGACCCCACCTGGCAAAGAGTCGACGAAGATCCAATCGACACCACCCTACCTATGACCCACTAGGTCGTAGGTGGGTTGTAGGTGGTGTGATGACCTCGGTGGGTCGTAGGTGGTCGTAGGTTGGCAAGTGCCTAAACTTTTAACTTCGCTGGGTCGTAGGTGGGGTGGTGTCGTTTGGTTTCTGGTCCAAAGAGAGTCACCTCGACACCTCGGCATCCCACCCCCATCGCTCCACCGCAGTCTGTGCCCTCCCCTACATCAGCGCTAAAGTCGATGACGCGTTTCGGATTGCTCACGATCTCTAGACTGCGCTCGGGCAGAGATTGCAGCAGCATGCGCAGGCTTCAACTAAGCATTGGTTTTCCAGATCGCCTCGCGACCCACGCGGGCCATCTCGTGGACGCCCTTTTTCTGCGCGGTGCTGGGGTCGATACTTGAATGCGGTGCAGGGTACGCCTGTCCTTGAGGCGAGACCGACTGAAGTCAGAGGAGCAAGAGGTCATGATATAACATGCTCTAAGACTTCCAGTGCTTCCACGATTTCCAAGATTCCCAAGCGTTCCACAGTGGCTGCAGAAACGAGGGCCGCTAGATACGCTGGAAATCATGGGCCGTATCCTGAGCCAATCCTATCATGCAAGCATGACTGCCCAATGACGGGGAGCGAACCAGGGGGTAGGAGGCGGAGGGCCATGCCGGGGCGCGCGCGGCGGGATCGGTAATGGGGACCCCCCGCCCGCCCAGCAGCGGGCGGTGGAGCCTCAGATCCGCGCGGATTTCTTGGATTGGCGCTGCGCCTCCCTCTGCGCGCCAGGGGCCGCGCGGAAGGCGCCGCCACGGGGGCTCCAGCGCCGATCCAAGGAACCCGGGCGGACCTCAGAGTTTCCAGGTTTGTGCAATCATTGGTTCCTCCAACCTCGAGGTGGAGAGAACGAGATCCTGACGCTGGCCAGACACTACGGCGTCGAGGCGGCTCCCGCTGGGGAGTCCCTAGGGGTCGGGTCGCGCAAGGCGCCGACCCGCCGTCGCGTCCTGTTTGCACCCCGCCTCGGCCCCCTCGGCGAGCACTCGCGAGAGCCTCTCTCCGACGGCGCAGGCCTGTCTCCCTCCCACAGACGTCACTAGCCAGTCTGGTTCTCCCGCGACTCCCTCTCCTTCTCCTCGATCCCTGTTTCTTTGAAGACAGCGCCCCCCTCTGTTGCACCACCAGGCGTGTCCGTAGGCCGGGCCATGCGTTTCGCTGGAGACTCACTCGCCACTTACCATCCTGAAGCTGGCGAAGCTCGAACAGTCCGAAACCTCAAAGCTGGTCGTTTTCAAGATGCGGCTCTCGCCTTAGCGCTTCCACCATTTACAGCCCAGGCCGCCGCGACCCAGAGGGCGGCCAGGAGGGGGCCTGGCGGCGCCCAAGGCCCAAGAGGCTATACGGAGGACCCATGGGAGAAGGAGGAGGAGGAGGAGGAGGAGGAGGAGGAGGAGGAGGAGGAGGAGGAGGAGGAGGAGGGAGGAATGAGGATGAGGATGAGGAGGA